AAAATTATAGACTTGGCTTTATTTGCAATTAACATATTTCAAAGACAGTACCTTGATGATTGGTCATAGAAGCAGTACTTATGTTTGTATAACTACTTTTAGTATGTATATTTAGTTAAGTTCAGTTCTCTTTACTTACTGTCAGTTTTCGGGTTTGAAAATTAGAATACAGTTATTATAAACATATTATGTTTTTCAATATATTGTATTTCTCCTTTAAGTTGTCTAAAGGTATTATTCCTCCACCATATAGTACCTTTCTTACCCTCCTCCTTGATGGCAATCGTCCTTTCATCCTCAATTTGCTTGGATGTTTTTCTCCCTTTTTTATTTACCTCTGCTCCAATATTCTCATCATCCTTTGTCTATTTTCATTTTCTGATCTCGTTCCTGTTTTTCCTGAATCTCAACTTTTTATGCCTTTTCTTCTCTACTACTCTTTATTTTAGTGCTCCCTCCACGTTTTATTTTTATTTCTTTTTGCAGCTTATGTCCATTTTTATACATGATGCCATTGTTCTTTTTCCTTTTAATAAAGGCTCCCTTTCTTTTGTTTACCGGGTTAACGTTGCACAATCATGATATCCATCAAAGACATGTCCTGGAAACAAGTGTCATTGACACTTTTTTGTCACGTTTGGTTACATTTTGAAATCTGTCAATTTTTTTCATATGTTTTTTTATGTTCCCTGTATTTTTCTTTTACTATGCACAATTTTTTTAGTTCATGAAACAGATTTTTGTTTCCATTTAACAGAATAGTGGCAATGTTTTTCCTACACTCACAAACAGCTATGAGCACAAAATTCTCAAGCATCCCTGCAATGCCCCTTCCGTACTAGTAAAAAAGTATTTGGACATTTTTCATTTTTACAAAGTTGTGTATATACACACACATAAAGACCATGTCCAGACTGGGAACTAAAAGCAGCCCTGTAAAAAATTTCTATAGTAACACAAAAAATCCGTTGCGCCAGCATAGTGTGCCGATATAGAGGTGAAAAAGATAACTTAAAGGAACACTATTGTCACCTAAATTACTTTAGCTAAATAAAGCAGTTTTAGTGTATAGATCATTGCCCTGCAATTTCACTGCTCAATTCACTGTCACTGTCATTTAGGAGTTAAATCACTTTGTTTCTGTTTAAGCAGCCCTAGCCACACCTAAACTGGCTATGATTGACAGAGCCTGCATGAAAAAAAAACCCCAAAATAACTGGTTCTTTCAAACAGATGTAATTTACCTTAAATAATTGTATTTAAATCTCTAAATTGAACTTTAATCACATACAGGAGCCTCTTGCAGGGTCTAGCAAGCTATTAACATAGCAGGGGATAAGAAAATCTTAATTAAACAGAACTTGCAATAAAGAAAGCCTAAATAGGGCTCTCTTTACAGGAAGTGTTTATTTAAGGCTGTGCAAGTCACATGCAGGGAGGTGTGACTAGGGTTCATAAACAAAGGGATTTAACTCCTAAATGGCAGAGTGAGGCTGCAGGGGTATGTTCTACAAACCAAAACTGCTTCATTAAGCTAAATTTGTTCAGGTGACTATAGTGTCCCTTTACAATGGACAACATTTACTGCGACTTGAAAGAAAGCAGACATAGGGCTTCAAAATAAACAAAAGAGCGGATTTACTCTGTAGGCATTTATTTGTGTCTGTCTCCTTTTATTTATTTATAATACATATATGTGCTACATATTTGTGGTGAGACAATGTTTGTGTGTGTGATGAGGTATGTAAATTCTAGTGTCTGAATGCTGTATTTGTAGTTAAGTACTTCTTGGGCAGGCATTGTGGGCATGTGTTTAGTAAAACAAATTGCATCATGAAGCTGAGGCATCCCAGTAAGGTGTCAATGTAATCAAAGTAAAGCTTACAAAAGGTACTTCTAAAGCAATATTTTACACTATTTAGGGAATAAAGCATTTAGTGACATTAGGTTTACTGTTGGGGGGAAGGATATGCCTTTTTTACCTTTTCAGTTCCTTTAATAATGCACCAATTGTTAATGTATTAGACACCGAATACCCTTAAAGCATTGCATCGTTTACAGACATTTAGTTAGTGTACTCTCATACTATCTGACAGTGATTCTTTCTTTGGTTTATATTAACATTTTTTTATATATGATATTGTATTTAAAAATAAGTAAGCATAAGACACTCCCCGGGATATCACATCGAATGGTGAATGCTCTTAGACTTTTTGTAAGACCATCTAACTAGTAGCAAAAAGATTAAACCTGAATGTGTAAAAGTGCAACAATTTTATAATGACCAAAACTTACTTACGTGTACATGCATAAAAAGATATATAAGAGCACTGGCTAACTGTTATAACCATGTTATTATTGCTCTTTATTTAAAAGAAATTCTAAAAATAAAAAAACCCAAAAACCTTTATTCTAAAGTCATTTTTCACCATTACCCCGAGTTTACTGTCAAACAATGTATGAGCAGTTTGATAAAAAATTGGGCCTTTCACAGGCACTCAAACTCCAAAACAATTGTTTATATTTTATTTACAAAATAACACTTTAGTAACAATGCTATCACCATGCATAGAGTGGAGCAAACCTGAAACGCAAAGTTTGTGTTCGTACCGAACATTACGATTTTTGGACCCCGGACCCGAACACGGACATTTCAGTGTATGTTCGGGTTGGAGTTCGGTGTTCGGCGATTTAATGGCACGTTTTGAAAGGCTGCAAGTCAGCCAATCAACAAGCATTTGACTTGTTTGCCCATAGAAGCCATCACAGCCATGCCTGCTAATGGCATGGCTGTGATTGGCCAGTGCAGCATGTGACCCAACCTCTATATGTAAATTGGAGTTGCGTATCGCTGCACGCACATGAGCTCTTATTAGTGTAGGGAGAGGATGCTGCAAATGTTAGGGACAGATTAGGAAATTATTTTGGTGTTGAATCTGCAAACTACAGCGATTATTCAAACTACAGCGATTATTTTAGGGGTGCTATACTACATTTTTGTACCCTGCCCTGAGCCCAGTGCCACAGAGAGTGCAGTGCACTTTAAACTGCATGTGTGCCAGGCACATGATTTTAATCCTGTTCTGGTAGCTCAGTGTGCAACATCTAGGCATTTTTAAATACTGCAATTTTTTGGGGTGCTTAATAGTACATGTGTGTAAAGCATTTCCTGTAGTCTGATAAAACCCTTAAATACTACTGTTACATTGTTGGTTTAAAAAACATCACACTTTTTTGTGCTAAATAGTACATTTGCGTCCTGCGATGCACTTCATATCTGAGAGTCAAATAGAAACACTGTGCTTAAAGCGCACTTTGAAAAATTCAAATTTGTTTGGGTGCTAAATAGTAAATTTGGGGTGTGCACTTCATATCTGACAGTCAAATATAATCGTCAAACACTGCGCTTACAGCGCACTTTTAAAAATTCTACTTTGTTTGGGTGCTAAATAGTAAATTTGCAGCCTGCGCTTCATATCTAAAAGTCAAATATAATCGTGAAACACTGTGCTTACAGCACACTTTGAAAAATTCTAATTGTTTTGGGTGATAAAAAGTAAATTTGGGGTGTGCACTTCATATCTGACAGTCAAACAGAACCATCAAACACTGTACTTACAGCGCACTTTGAAAAATATATATATATTTGTTTGGGTGCTAAATAGTACATTGCGGCTTGCACTTCCTATCTGAGAGTCAAATAGAACCATCAAACACTGTTCTTGCAGCGCACTTTGAAAAATTTGAATAGTTTTGGGTGCTAAATAGTACATTTGCATCCTGCAGTGCACTTCATATCTGAGAGTCAAATAGAACCATCAAATACTGTGCTTTCAGCGCACTTTAAAAATTCTAATTGTTTTGGGTTATAAAAAGTAAATTTGGGGTGTGCATTGCATATCTGACAGTCAAATAGAACCATCAAACACTGTGCTTACAGCGCACTTTGAAAAATTCTAATTGTTTTGGGTGCTAAATAGTACATTTGCGTCCTGCGGTGGACTTCATATCTGAGAGTCAAATAGAACCGTCAAATACTGTGCTTTCAGTGCACTTTTAAAAATTCTAATTGTTTTGGGTGATAAAAAGTAAATTTGGGGTGTGCACTTAATATCAGTCAGTCAAATAGAACCATCAAATACTGTGCTTACAGCACAGTTTGACCCATTCAAATTTTTGGGGTGATAAAAAGTAAATTTGGGGTGTGCACTTCATATGTGAGAGTCAAATAAAACCGTCAAATACTGTGGTTACAGCGCAGTTTGACCAATTAAAAAAGTTGTGGGTGCTAAATAGTACATTTGTGGCCTGCACTTCATATCTGACAGCCAAATAGAACCGTCAAATACCAATATAACATTATTGTAATTCGGGGCAATACACTCACAAGTCAAATTGAGAGGTCAGTTTATAGAGAAAAATGTTGCCTGGATACAATTCTAAAACAATTCCCATATGTCCTTTGCAGACTTTACATGCTGAAAAAACACAGGTGCCAACTGCTGTGGCTTTCTGCAGTGTGCAGACCAGCAAGGACGGCAGAGTTGAGGAGTGGTTGGAAGATTATGTGGAGGATGATGAGGTCCTAGACCCCACATGGAATGAAGGTCATGCGAGTGACATGTGGAGTTTGGAGGAAGAGGCGCTGGTCGCACAGAGGCACCAGCACAGCATGAGAGGGAGCAGGGTGCAAAAGCGGAGTGGACGTCTCCTAGCGCTCGTCGGCATGTATTATCTTTAGAATTCCCACAGTTATCCAAGTAACAGAGCACCAGCATTTGTGCGGCCACATACCAGGACCCTGATGCAGCTTCAGTAAAAATATTACTGGATACCAGAAGCCATCACCAGACTGATCCGCAATTTGAAACAGGATGTGACATTCACTGTAGCGGCTGTGAGCGCTTTCGGTGTTCTCATCCTGCTGCTGCTAGCCTGTCTGCGCTGCAGTGTAATGTTGGCATTCCCGCTCACCGCCTCATATGCCTCGTGCCCACAAGGTGGAACTCCACCTTGCACCAGACTTGCCCTCCAATTGATCAAAGTTAAAGGATTTCAAGTGGACTCATTACAATTACAGGGCCTCTACAGAGTCCTGTATTGTTATTTGTCGTCACTACCTCCCAGCTTCGGGAGTGGGTAATTTGCGCGCCTGCTGCCTTCTTTGGATGTGGTAGCCGTTTCTCAAGCTCCCTCTCCAGAATTGAACCCTGATTCCCCGTTACCCGTGGTCACAATGGTAGGCGCAGAAAGTGGCATCGAAAGTTGATACTGCAGACATCCGAATGCAAAGTCGCCATCACGTGGACGTGCGATTGGGCCGAGGTTCTCTAGAGTCACCAAAGTGCCTGCACAATTATAATGTCGACAGCTACTCTGCCGAACGGATCTTCACTAATAGGTAGGGGATGAAGGGGGGCCCTGTGCCGGTCCCTCCTCCTCCCCACTCTCTGGCAGGCATCTGGCAGTTCTGCCTCAGATCCGGAGAGATGCCTGGCCAGATGAAGCTGTGGGTGAGCCGAGACGCTGTCCGGCTCCTGCCCAAATGCCCTGCCAAGGGGATATCGTAAGCTAGCTTCAGCAGCTCTTACCAATACTTCTTGGGTCTGGGGCTGGCGGTCTCTCACCGCTGGGGAGCCTATTGAAAAAGTGCTCTAGCATGACGAGTTGGGCATTTTCCTCCGAGAACTTGGCTTGATGGGAGTTGAGCCAGTTCTGGGTGGCCCTTGTGATGTGGCATGCCCACTCCGCATGGGAGTCCTTCTCCCCTTTCCGGGTCTCCCTAAACTTTCGGCAGTATTGCTCGGGGGTGACCGCAGGATTTGTGTAATAAATCTGCTCTTCTGGTACAGCCCGGTAAATATCCGCTGCCTTCCCCACTAGTTTGCTGGCCAGGATGGTGACCCAGTCGTTGGAGTCCACGTCTTGGAGTAGGCACTGGCGCTTAAAATTCATTGATGCCTTCTTCTGCTTCCTTAAACTCTTTGAAGGAATTGTATGGTAGCTTGTGGGCCAGGGTGGTTGTGCTTTCCGGCGCCCTCTGCTCCCTTCTTCTTTCATCTGGGTTCATGGAGGTTGCCCTCTATCTATTGGCAAGGACATAGGCTTGCACCTCCAAAAAGATCTTGCTGACAATCTCCTCTGAGGGTGGCTCTTGGTAATATGCCAGGCGCCGTTCCACTTCCTCCTCATCTCCGGCTCCTAGCTGGGGTTTGTTGCCTCACTGCGTGCCTGGTCGTCCTCCATGAGCACAGCAGTCAATTTGGCCTTGTTACGCCCACCAGGTGTTATTCCTCTGACTCCACATAAGTTCTGCAGTGTAGGTCGCTTTAGAGCACTGTAGTCCATGGGTCTGTTGGCAGGGACATGGGATCCCGCCGCTTGCCACCAAGTGAAGAGGGACCTGGGTAACCGATGGTTATCCCCTTTGATTAGTATAGGTCAGGCCCATTTCCCCAGTAACCGGATGGCACACAGTTCCAGGATACAACGTTTGACAATCTTTATTTGGGTACACAGCTTTGCCTCCTGTTGCTTCCTACTCCGCTTCCTCCTCCTCTACCACCTCCTCATCCGGTCAACGTAACACCTTCACCATCAACTTCAGCACAGCCGGGGGAAACAACAGCAGGCTGTTTTAAAACCTATATGTTTGGGGGAAAAACCCCACACCGCGCAGGAGCTGTGGACGGGCATGGAACAACAGACCGATGAGTGATTGTTGCAACTGAGCCTCAAGCCCGGCCTGGTGGTGAGCAATAATGGGTGAAATCTTGTAGCAGCTCTGGGCCTAGCCGGTTTGATGCACATCCCTTGCCTGGCGCATGTGCTGAATTTGGTAGTGCAGAAATTCCTGAAAAACTACCCATATATATCAGAGCTGCTGCAGAAATTGCATGTCGTCTGTGTGTGCTTTCGTCGTTCTCACCCTGCTGATGCTCACCTGTCTGCGCTGCAGTGTAACTCTGGCCTTCCCCCTCACCGCCTCATTTGTGACATGCTCACAAGGTGGAACATGCTGGAGAGACTGTGCGAGCAGCAGCAGGCGATAGTGGAGTTTCAGCTGCAGCACGCACAGGTCAGTCACTCTGTGCAATAGCACCACTTCACCACCAATGAGTGGGCCTCCATGCAAGACCTGTGTGCCATGTTGCGCTGTTTCGAGTACTCCACCAACATGGACAGTGCCGATGACGCCGTTCTTAGCCTTACTATCCCGCTTCTATGTCTCCTTGAAAACACGCTTTGGGCGCTGATGGAAGAGGATGTGGCACAGCAGGAAGAGGAGGAGGAAGAGGGGTCCATTTCCACGGTTATCAGGCCAGTCATTCACAAGTGGCTCGGAGGGTGGGTTCCTGCACCAGCATAGGCCAGCTACACAATTGTCAAGCATCTCCACACTGTCCCATGGAAGCATTCAGCTGTCCATCTCCCAAACACTGGAGAGAAAGAGGAAGTACACACCTAGCCACCAGCGATCCCTGGCCCTGAATGCCAGCATTTCAAAATTTGTGGCCTTTGAAATACTGTCATTCTGTCTGGTGGAGACGGACAGTTTTAAAAACCTGATGGCGTTATTGGACTGCAAGAAATGCACCACAGGCCACAAATGTTTTTTTTTTTTTTTTATGTTCCAATATTTTGGGGACTATCCCAATAAAAAAATTAAAACAGTGTTGGCTACCTCCTCCACCGCCGCTTCCACCTACACCTCCACGGTCACCGCCTCCTCAACCTATGGGTCAATTAGTATAAACTAGGTACACAATAACAGAGGCTTGTGAAGGCCTTTTCTCCATGCATCAGGAGTTGAGCATATCTCCATGCATCAGGACTGCAAGAAATGCACCGCAGGACGCAAATGTTTCTTTTTTTTATGTCCCAATATTTTGGGGGCTACCACATAAAAAAAACAAAAAACAAAACAAAAATAAAAAACAGTGTTGGCTACTTCCTCCTCCAGAATTGAAGTGGCAAGCAGGCATGTAAAATGTTCCGGTTCCATCGATCCTGTGATTGATCTTGTGATCCTAAGACTGGTTCATTTTACATGCCTGCTTGCCACTTCAATTCTGTAAGTGTGCCTTATAATTAAACTGTTTATTTTATCAAGATACTCTGCACTATTATACTTTTTTGTTTCCTTCTATATATACCATGACGTCTCACCAATTTTGAGGTTTCCACCGTCTTTACGATATGCCTACAATCAATTTTGGTTTGTGAGTGCAAATAACTATTTGAATTTCCACTCCTTTCTTATTACAACAGTATTGCGCTATGTCTTTTTCTGTTATTATTGTATTGTAGATTATTTCCTTTTTCATATTGTTTCTTGAGGACCCGGAGGATTCCTTGTCTACAATACTTATAGTTCAAGGGTAATTGTTTAGATTTTTATCTATTACCCACTAAGTGTGTGTCTTATCCACCAGGGGGTGTATCTGTACCTTGTATATTTGGATATCTGAAAGTCAAACAGAAGCGTCAAATACTGCTGTCACATAGCAGTTTTAAAACGTAAACATTTTTGGGTGCTAAAAAGTACATTAGTGGGGTGCACTTCATGTCTGAGAGTCAAATAGTGTGCTTACAATGCAGTTTGAAACATTCTTATTTTCTGGATGCTAATCTGCTAAATAGTACAATAGTGGGGTGCTCTTCATACGTGAGAGTCAAATAGAAGCATCTAATAGTGCGCTTGCAGCTCAGTTGTATAAAAATTCATTTTCTGGTTGCTAAACTGCTAAATAGTATATTTGGGGGCCTGCTCTTCATATCTGAGAGTCAAATAGAAGCGTTTAATAGTGTGCTTACAGCACAGTTGTAAACATTCTAATTGTTTTACAGCTAATCTTCTAAATAGTACATTTTGGGGCCTGCTGTTCATATCTGAGAGTCAAATAGAAGCGTCAAATAGTACGCTTACAGCGCAATTGTAAACATTCCTTTTTTTCTGGATGATAGTCTACTAAATAGTACAGTAGTGGGGTGCTCTTTATATCGGAGAGTCAAATAGAAGCGTCAAATAGTGGGCTTACAGCAGGGCCGGACTGGGGAAAAAATTCGGCCCGGGCATTTTTAATTACAGCGGCCCACTGAAAAGGGGGCAGGACCAGATAGGGTGTGTTTTGTCATCCCCAATGACAAGCACGCCCCATCTCAAAGTGAGCATGTTGGTTCAATGCTCTTCCAGGGCGTGAGAAAAGGGCCCTGTATTTGATCTGCACAGCGCAAGCAAATTTAATAACATGCTTGCATTGTGTTTGCTTGAAACTTGTCTCAGGGGTTTCCATAATTGGAATACTCACTGTATCCCATTTATGGAGACACTATGTGTTTGCTTAAAGGGTATCTAGTGTGTTCATAGGGGATCCTGAGTGTGTATGTCAGAAATGTAGTGTGTGTGTGAGTGGTGCAGCGTCTGTGTGTAGAGGATCTAGTGTGTGTTTGAAGGACTCAGGAGTGCGTATAGGAGATCTAGTGAGTGTGTGAGTGGTGCAGTGTGTTTGGGGGGTGCTGTGTGTGAGGGGTGTAGTGTGCATTTGTGAGGAGTATAGTGTGTGTGGGGGGTGCAGTATGTGTGTGGGAGGGTGCAGTGTGTGGGGGTGCAGTATGTGTGTGTGAGGGCGCTGTAATTAGCACAAGCAGAGAAAAACAATTTTTCCACATTATTCATAACTTGAAAAGTATGCATCACATTCACATAAAACATTTTCAGAATCTGAGAGTCAAATTGAAGCGTCAAATTGTGGGCTTACAGCACAGTTTCAAACATTCTAATTGTCTTGCTGCTTATTTGCTAAATCGTCCATTTGGACGTGCTCTTCATATCTGAGAGTCAAATAGAAGCGTCTAATAGTGAGCATACAGCGCAGTTGTAAACACTCTAATTGTTTTGCTGCTAATCTGCTAAACAGTAAATTTTGGGGCCTGCTCTTCATATCTGAGAGTCAAATAGAAGCGTCTAATAGTGTGCTTAGAGCGCAGTTGTAAAAAAAAAAAATTTCTGGTTGCTAAACTGCTAAATAGTATATTTTGGGGCCTGCTCTTGATATCTGATAGTCAAATAGAAGCGTTTAATAGTGCGCTTACAGCACAACTGTAAACATTCCTTTTTTCTGGATGCTAATCTGCTAAATAGTACAGTAGTGGGGTGCTCTTCATATCTGAGAGTCAAATAAAAGCGTCAAATAGTGGGCTTACAGCACAGTGTGAAACATTCTAATTGTCTTGCTGCTAATCTGCTAAATAGTAAATTTTGGACGTGCTCTTCATATCTGAGAATCAAATAAAAGCGTCTAATAGTGAGCATACAGCGCAGTTGTAAACATTCTAATTGTTTTGCTGCTAATCTGCTAAATAGTACA